ACTTCACATAAAAGAAATAAATTGGGTCCTTAACATTTTTAGTTGGTATTGGGGATTGAAACCAGAAGCACTTAATCACTGAGCCACATCCTCAGCCCTTTTTTTATATTTTATTAGAGACAGAATCTTGCTAAGTTGTTTAGTGCTTCATTTGTCTTAACTTGCTGAGGCTGGCTTTGAGCTTATGATCCTCCTACTTCAGCCTCCCAAGCTGCTGGGGTTATAGACATGTAGCATTATGCCCTGTTTGGGTCCTTAACTTTTTTTTTTTTAAAGAGAGAGTGAGAGAGGAGAGAGAGAGAGAGAGAGAGAGAGAGAATTTTTTAATATTTATTTTTAGTTCTCGGCGGACACAACGTCTTTGTTGGTATGTGGTGCTGAGGATCGAACCCGGGCCGCACGCATGCCAGGCGAGCGCGCTACCACTTGAGCCACATCCCCAGCCCAAGGGTCCTTAACTTTTAAGGATTTTTTGTATTCAAAATTAACACAAACTATAACAATGACCTAAAAATAAGATCCAAAATTACAAAACTCTTAGAAGTAAATGTAGGAAAAACCTTCAGAACAGTATGTGGCAATGATTTCTTGGGTATCACACCAAAATCACACATAATAAAGAAAAAAATAAATAATTTGTGCTTCATCAAAATTAAAAATGATTGATCATTAAATGACACTGCTATCCAAGTTAAAAGGAAACCACAAATTTGCAGAAAATGTTAACAAATCATATAGATTTCATTAGGGATTGATACACAGTTTATATAAGAGACTTATACAACCCCCGCAAAAAAATCAAACAATTTGAGCCAAAAAAAAGTCAAAATACCAACAGCAGTGGTGCTTGACTCTAATACACATAATTTGGGAGCCTTAGGCAGGAGAATCAAAATGTTGAGGTCAGTCTGGGCAACTTAGTGAGACCCTTTCTCAAAATAAAAACAATAAAAAGGACTACATAGTCCAATAGGAGAGTGGCCCTGGACTCAATACCTAATACTCCAAAAAAAAAAATTAAAATGATCAAAGACTTTAAATAATGTTTTCCCAAATAAGTTAATTAAATAATCAATAAGTACATGAAAATATGCTAAATATTACTACACATCAGGGAAATGTGGAAAGATACCAGTTCACATCCATTAGGATGGCTATTGTTAAGATAACAAATAGAAGGGATTAAAGATTGCATGCTACACAAAGGCTGCATTCCTAGTTGCTCCTTAGCTTGGGCTTCAAGCAACAGGAGTACAGGGAGTGCAAGGTGGATGAAAGAGGAAATTCACTAAAATTCATTTTTGAACGGTCAAAGTGTTTTAGAGACTCAGAAATTTGGGTACATTAAACAAAGAAGAAAGATTATATTAGAGCCAAGCCAATTGTGGCAGCATCAGTAATAGTGGTGCTAAAGATCAGAGGGAGATCAGTAGAGAAAAAGGATCAAGGGGTGAGAGGTAGGGAGGGAAGAGGGAAGTGCTGGTGAATGACATTGGTCAAATTATACTGTTATATTGTTAACATGTGTGAATATGTTTAAAAAAAACCCTGTAAATATGTCTACCTATAGTGCACCAATAAAAATATGGAAAAAAACCAAAAAACCATATGCAAAAAATCAATGGGAAAAGCGAAGAACAGTGGTACTTTAATCTGTACATACATGAATATAGCACAGTAGTTGAGAGCCACAGCCGAAGGGGCCCCAGCAAACTTCCAGCTGCCAGAAAACTTCCAGATGCCAGCTGATGATTGGCTCAGAGCGGCCCCAGCAACATCAAGCTGATTGGCTCCTCTGTGGTGATGCTCATTGGGCTGTTTCCCCACCCTTTCAGACTGCCAGTTGATGATGAATCCCAATATCAAGTATATATACAAGACAGTAATTAAAAAAAACTACACTAAATAGCAAGAATATCAACAGAGTAGAAGAAGGTCAACAGGGGAAGGGAGAGAGGAGGAGGGGAAAGTGCTGAGGACTGAATTAAAGCAAAGTATATTCCATGCTTTTGGGATTATGTAAAAATGTGTCCTAATGTTTGATGTGACTAAAAAGAATTTAAAAAATCAAAATAAATTTGAAAAATAAATTGATATATTGTAAACATAATAAGTTTTGGCAAGAATGTGGGGGAAATAAAAGCTTTGTGCATTGCTAGTGGGAATATAGAATGGTGCAGCCAGTATTAGCAACAGGATGGCAATTCCCCCAGATTTAAAAATGTATTTACCTCATGATCTAGCAGTTTTACTGTTGGGTATACCTACAAAAGAATTGAAAGCAAGGATTCAAACATATATTCACTTTCTATATTCATAGCAGCATTATTTCAAAAGCATATAGCCAAAATGGTCCACCAAATACTTCAGTTGACCAAAAAAATGTGTAATATAATAGAATGAAATATTTTTCAGCTTTAAAATAGAATGAAATTCTGATACATGCTATAGCATGGATGAACCTTACAGACATTATGCTAAGTAAAATAAGCCAGACACAAAAGGACAAATATTATGTGATCCCATATATATTAGGTACCTAGAATAGTCAAATTCAAAGAGACATATATAGAAGATTGGTTATCAAGGGTTATAAAATGGAAGACTGAAGAGTTATTGTGTATTGTATATACATACAGTTTCTACTTGGAATGATTAAAAATATTTTGTAGGTAAATAATGCCCAAGAATGAGAATGTACTTAATTCCACTGATCTATATGCTTCCAAAATGGGAAAAGAAAATAAATTGTGTGTATGTTGTACCACAATAAAAATAAAAGTATAGTCCATGTAAATAAAGCATGAATCATAATGGAGACTCCTAAATATATATATTATAACATATACTAGCCTTAAGCCCAATAGTCTAACAATCCACTTGAAGAAACCAGGAAAAAAATAACATCTCTAACACAAAGAAACAGATGAAAATAATGTAGAAAAAATATCATGGAAATAAAAGAAGCCATAGAAAAGAGAAAACCAAAAACAAATATTTCTTTTACTTGAAAGATTTATAAATGTGATAGATTTCTAATACAAATCACGAATGAAAATATATAATTCTAATATCACAAACAAAAGGAGTTATCACTATAGAACTTAAGAATGTTAAAATTCCATTTACTACATTTAACAGGTTATATGAAATGTTGAAATTTATACAATTAACTAAAGCTGATGCAGTACAAAACAAAATTTCTATATAATGCAAGATATGTTATGTAAAAAGTTAAAAAAAATCTGAAACCATAGTTTTCAATTTCCTAAACAGGCTTTTACATGTGTCTAGCTTGTCAGATGTAGATTTTGGGGATTAGCCTCTATACTCCATTAACAATTCCTTATACTCTGTCTCCCTCCCCACTCTGTCTCTATGTATCCCTATTGATTTTGTTTTTCTGGAGATGGACATACATACAGATTTTAGTACTGAGTTGTTGAGATATGGGGTATTGCTATAACAATACATAAATATGTGCAAGTGACTTTGAAATTGGATAATGGATAGAGCTGCAAGTTTCTGAGATACATGTTAGAATATGGATATTAAAAGTGATTTTACTGTGTTTTTAGGCAGAAAAGTTATTGGAAAAGGAGAAAGGTTAATCCCTCCTATAAAGTGACAGAAACATCAATTGTGTTCTAGTGTTCTGTGGGCACAAATGGTTTGTGAACAATGAAATTGAATACTTATCTGAACAGATTTTCAAGCAAAGCATTGAGAGGAAAAGCTTGATTCTTACTGATTACTTATAATAAACTGTGAAAAGACATAGATGAATTGAAGAGAAAAACAAAAAGGAACAAGAGTTTTGGAAGGTTTGGAAATTTTTCAGCTTATCAATATTTCAAAGAAAATGAAAATAACTTTAAAAATGTTTGGGGGGGGGCTACTGGGGATTAAACCCAAGGGCAGTCAACCACTGAGCCACATTCTTAGCTCTATTTTGTATTTTATTTAGAGACAGGGTCTCCCTGAGTTGCTTTGGTGAGGCTGGCTTTGAAGTTGTGATCTTCCTGTCTCAGCTTCCCAAGCCACTGAGATTACAGGCATGTGCCACTGTACCCAGTGAAAATAACTTTTCTAAAGTGAGGCTGAACAACCATTTTATAAAATATTATTGTTGGTTTAAACCACACATCTATTCAATCTCAGCAGAAGCTAGGGATAGAGATGTGAATATATCAGCAGGAAGACTGCTAGCTGAGAAGAAAGAAAAAACAGTAAGAAATGAAAGAAGGCTGCAGAAATATTGTATCTTTCAAAACAAGGAAAGAATGAATTCTAAGGCAATTCTTAAGGAAATCCTAAGATCACCAGAGCTGCCACTCTTACCACCAGAACAAAAGGAAAGTATAACAAAGTTAGAATGAGTGAACACTGTGCTGGATTCATGTGATAAAATACTACTGGCCAATGAACAAGACCAGAGTGCTGTGTCACATGAAAACACAGATGGATCTCGTGGACTGGGGATCTGTCCAGAGAAAGATCCAGACTCGGAGGACAACCTGGAATCTCCCTCCATTGATATGAAGGGGAAATCAAGCAAACTAGTGTATCATGACAGAGTTCAGAATTGTGGGTAATTTGGGAAGGGACTATTTAAAAAGGCACAGGGACCATTCCATAGTCCTGGAAATATTCCATATTTACTAGCAGGCACATCACGTATACACGCACAATGAACACGTATGTTCATGCCTAAGGTGTGTGAAATCCAATGAAAACAAAAATAACAGGAAGGGAGGACTCCATGCTCTATCAAGCCCAAGCCAGTGACTTGATCCATATTAACAAGTACTGTATTCCCACAATGACCCACAGGAATGAGTTTGTGCATGCTTGGCACCCAGGGGAGCACTTATTCTAGAGAAAGGGGTCTCAATAGTTATTACACGCCTCAGCATTCCAGCTTTGCCTCCTGAGCCTTGGTGCTTTCCATCCCCCACCCCACCCCCACCCCCAAGCCCACAGTGCCCTGTGACTTCAGCTATTGTGATGCAAACACCAAGGGAGTGGGAAGCAGCCTGAGAGCCAAGGAGACAGCACCTAGGAGAGCTCACTCACAGGTCAGCAGGCATGCTCCTCATTCAGGGGCAGGACTGGGGACTTGGAGGAGGGGGAAGGGGAACCTGTCTTGGGTTGGTGTGGTGCTAGCAACAGCTGGCCCTCTTAGAAGAGCCCCCTACATGGGGACCCTATAAGCTGCCCTCAAGAGGCTCCAAAGGCCAGCCTTCTTTGTCTCCACAGCCCCCCATGCCCTCCTCCTACATATTGACTGGTTTTATTTTGTCTGTAGTCCAGAGAGGAGGCAGGGAGCCTGGAATGAAAAGACCTCTGAAGAGTATCTAGTAAATCCGCATCAGGTAGGAAGGGGTCCCATTACTGGAAGACACCCTCAGAGGTAGCTGTGCTCCCTTGGGCAGCAGGCGTCAGTTTCTCCTGGGGGTTGAGGGTCTGGTGTGGATGCCCCCAAGAACACTGTCTTGAGTAGATCATGCCTCCCAAGACACTGAAGGCCAGTTAGTTGGGCTGTTGCCTCTGGTGTCTGGGAGAGGATGGAGCATCCCCTGGATCCTCTCCCGTGTCCAGGTTCCTGCAGAGAGTCACGGACGACTTCTTTCTGGGTCTGGAGCTGGAGCGGTGATGTCCAGGACAGAAGCTGCGAGGTAAGGGGCACAGAAGCCTGTTGTGGGAGGGTCTGATGCTTTGTATTTTCCTCTTAGGGTCGAAGGCAACGTGTCAGCCTACGGCAGGTAAAGGGGAGACCTGCTTATGGTCACACCCCCCCGTAGAGGGTTGGAAGGTGTTTGGGGAGGGCTAGGCAGGGCTCTTGTCTCCAGAGGCTGAGTAGGAGGACCCTGGCCTCCTGACCTGTCCCCCCAGCAGGCTGAGTGCACTTCATCCCCTGCTTCCTGGTTCATTCTGTGGCTCAGAGGCCAGGTAAGTGGTTCTGGGAGAGGAAGTCCCAGGAGTGATAAGGAGGATGTTGCTGGGAGGTCTTTCTCTCCCAGAAGAATTACAACCCAGGCTGCTTACGAGGAACTGGACATCTTACCCTCCCGGAAAACCAGGAGGTAAGGAGCTTCCTGCCCTGGGGAAGGGAAAGAGGAAGTCCTATTTTCCCAGATGTCCTCAGGTCAGTTGAGAAGAAGGAGGGCAGTGGTGTGGATCTGTCCAGGTGTTTGGAGAAAGTGATGGCCACTCTCAGGCTGAAAGCACCTCCTCGCACACAGGTAGGTCTTTGATGTCAACATGTGAGCAGGTGTGAACACATGCCCAGGATGCACAGTTGGCGAGAACTGACCACTGTGGCCATTGTATGTGTTCCTTTCCCTCTACCTGTTATGGGAAGGAATGTAGGGAGGTGAGGCCGCTCAGACCTGGAGGACATGGTAAGGGCTATTTCAACTGTTCATTTTTGCATTGATTCTGTGTGTGGTTCTTTATGTGAGCTGGGAAGAGCCTGAGACAGAAGACGACAGAGGAGGACCTTGGAGCATCTGGGGGATGGCAGGCCTTGCTGTCTTTGCCACAGAAAGTGCACCGTCCCTCCCTGGGTTTGGAATGCACGAGAGCCTGCTGTCCTCACCTGGAGGAGTCTTCTTACTGCATAGCAGGTTGGAGCTCTTTATGCATTTTCCGGGCAACTTCAGCAGCTCGCCACCTCTTCAACCCAGCCTCATGGAAGTTTGGTTGTGATCTGGGGACAGGAGATGGCTTTTCTCCGTCTCTTCACACACCTGGCCATGCCCCACACGAGCTTACTGCCCATCCACCTGTGGCCAGGTTTGGTGAGCTCCCTGCCTTCTCCAGGTTGAGCCGACCTGCTTGGGCTGTGCAGCTGCTATCTGGCAGCCCAGGGACTCTGACCAAGCCCCTGCCCCTAGGGTCTGCGTTCTGAGAAACAGCTCTGCTTCCTCTCTGTAGCAGACTTGGCACAGGAGAGGGAGATGCAGAGGCTGGACCTATCAGGCCAGGGAGCTAGCTTCTGGAGACTTCAATCAGAAGGGGTAGGGAGTTTTCAACTCTAGACTTCCAAAAGTGTGCTGCTTGGGTCCCTTTGGTGACCAGGGGGACTTGAAAACCCTCTTCAGTCCTGGGGGATGTTCTGGTTACTCCAAAGAACTATGAAGGTCATTGGGTGCCACAAAATATTTGTCATCAGGACCAAAAGGCCTCAAAAGCTCAGTGTGACTATTATGTGTCCGCCAGGTCCACTGGAAACATGGCTCCTCTCAGCCTCTTTGCTGATTCCGGGTGGAAGGTATTTAATCCCTCCCTCTCTCCAGGTACGGTTTACAAACAGGCACTGAGAACCCAGCAGCAAGAAGTTTTCCCTGATATTCTTTTTGGGTGCAGGCACAGGACTGGGGATGGAACCCAGCGATGCTTTACCTCTGATCTGCATTCCTCGTCCTTTTCATTTTTTATCGAGAAAGGGTCTTGCTGAGTTGCGAAGGCTGGTCTGGAACTTGCAATCTGCCTTCTTCAGCCTCCCGAGAAGCTGACATTACAGGCTTGTGTCACCAAGCCCATCGGGAAGTTGGCTCTGAAAGCCATAAAGGGGCTGTTGACCCTCACCGAGTTGGGATGCAGGTGAAAGCATGAAAACTTGGATGAACAGCTTCCCTTTCTACAGACACAGACGGTCAGTCTTTTTCAAAAGTAATAAGAACACACGTCATCTTCTGCTACTAATAAATGCCTCATTTGCCCACCATGGCTAACATTTAGGAATTCTTATTACTTAGTCTGGGGACTTCTCTCTGGACATTTCTGGTGTCCTTCATTTTGGGCCTTGAGGAAGAGTTTCCCTCTGGGTTGATACTTTGACTACTACTGCTGCACAGAGAGAGAGAGAGAGAGAGAGAGAGAGAGAGAGAGAGATATTTTGTAGTAGTTGTTGCTCTTTGGTGGTGGTGGGGGGATCAAACCCAGGGTCTTGTAGGTGCCGGGCCTCACTCTGCCACAGCTACTCTGTGCTGGTGCACTTATTTATTTCTAGGTCTTGATTATCCCCTCAGGCTTCACTTGCATGTTTGCTGTGACAATGGATGGTCCTACCAGCAGGAGGCAAGGAACACAGGTGAGTCTGTCTACAGGTTGCAAAAGGTCCGCGTAAGATCTCTCATGTTTGTAAGGAACACTGAGAACGGGTGTCCACGTGCAGCTCTGAAAGGGATGGGGAACGTGTGTGTTCCTTATGGGTACCACGGATCACTCACAGGAATTTGATCCAGGCCTGTATGCTGCAGGATTTGTCCCCATGACCCAGATGTAAATCTGATAAAAACAGATCTTCCCTCAAGTCACCTCTGGAGTCAGGTAGGGGAGAGAACGGCTGGTATCAAGAGGTGAAATGAAAGGAGCAGGTGGCAGAGACAGAGGAAAGTGTCCCTCTCTTCCCACCCCCAAGGGTATGTGACAATTTCCGACCCTGGCTTCCTAACCAGTTATAGGGAGGCTATTATCTCCATGACAGGTCACACAGTTCCCCTTGGGCAATGTAGGGAGGTCTTTCTGGTCTTGACACTCACAGAACAGCGTATAAATAGGGCTTATCTCATCAGTCTAATGTGGTAATTAGGGTGTTAGATCAGGATGTTTGTCATGAGAAATGGGTGTCCCTGGCCAGCTCTGAGAGGGACCTTGGCCTTTCCTGCACCGACATGCGAAGTGCGTCTCAGGAAGAAACAAGGAAAGGTAGAGAGACCAATGGGAACAAGATGGAAGGACGGACATATGGGGGGGACGACTTCTCTGGAGGAGAGAGGAGCTGGTGGGTGATGGTTCTGGCCACCCATTTTCCTGATGCTCACTTCTTCCCCTTCAGGTTCCTAGAGTTTCACCTCACAACCCCCTCGAAGAATCACAGCTATTCCCTGGTGGGGAAAGAGGTTCTGGATCCTCCGCATACCCACTTGATTTTCTGAGGCACCTGGTGAGGGTGGGGCAGGAAGTGGGAAGAGATGGAGGCACAGGCCACCCTCTGCCCCCTTGTGTCCCCATGAGGTGTTAGGCAAGCAGTGAGGGTGGCCATTGTGTGGGCTGGGATGTGATACCCTAGTGTCCTGCAGCCTCCCGATTCCAATGAGTATAGTATGGCAACAGCTTGTGTGGATTCCTCCTTCTTGACTCCGTCTCTGCTCCCCAGAATCCCCTCAGATGCAGGGACAGGGAGAAGATGTGACACCTGCCAGGTAGGTGCTGCAGGGCTCCAATCTGCCAGCTCACACTCCTGTCCTGAGACCTCCCACCTGCACATCTAGTCAGAAAATGGAAGCCTGCCATTTGTGAATTCTCTGAGCCCTGGTTGTTCTCTTTCCCAGTAAGGGTCGCTGAAGTTAGGGTGATAGGACTTGTAGCCCCCTCTCTTGACCCAAAGTGGCAACACGTAGAGAAACATCAGTGTTTCAAGCAGTCGGCTGGAAAGCACGCTGGGAACTTAGCAATATTTGGTCAGCCAACTCCCAAGACTCCCTTCAACCCTAAGTAGGAGTCCAAGCCCCAGCATTCAAATAAATACAGAAAGGGCAACCTGTGGCTCACAGCTATAATTGTGGAGGTCATCTGTTCCTGGGTAAAAACAATCCTGAATTATCTTAGATCTTTGCTACATCTAGCCTTTCAGCACTGTAAACTGTGAGGCTTCCCTTTAAATATCCTGAGAAAGGGCATGGAAACTAAAGTCACAACACTGAAGGGCAATTGGTGGGCTGCAGTAACTTGGTTCTTACTGCACCTGTATACCTGTGAGCACATCTTGGGCCATGGGCCTTTTTCTCCTCCTCCAGTCAGGCCTGGAATTCATTTCCCCATGGACTGACCCAGAGCGGCTCTGTGTGACTCCTTTTGGAATAGTGCGTTTGAGGCATGTCATTGGTCACCTTCCTTGGGCCTGCCAGGGAACATGGCTTTTCTTAAGTTTCTGCCCTTGTTCTTTCAGCAGCTGGAGCTCTCTGTGCTATGAAGAATTCCAGAGTGAAAGTTCAAGTGCAGGGAGAGACCTGCCCAGCTTGGCTGTTCCTGCCTTTCCTTCTGGGATCTGATATTCTAATGAGATGGGCCTCTGAGTCCAGCCCAGGTTCCCCCGAGTGCAATGGCATGAGAGAGCTCAGGTGAAGTCCACACTGAGATCCAGCTCTGCTGGATGAGCACAGGTAGTCCACTTGTGATCCTCAGGTGAGACTACTTGTTTTCTTCACTGTGCTCAATAACATTTCACTTCTCTCAGCTCTGTTATTCATCTACAAATGTGATAAAGCAAAGATGACCCAAATAGACTACTTAAAATAGAGGCATAAGAGAATTTGCAGAAATATGCATCAGCTCTAGGTTCACACCTGATATATCATCAACTCTACTTCATTCATTTAGCTTGGGAAAGTTACATGGCCAAGGCCAGCATTAAAGAATGTAAAAGTGGTTCTGCTTAGAATGAAGAAACACTGTTAATTTTCATACACTGCTGGGTCTGGGGTTGTGGCTCAGTGGTAAAGGTCTTGCATAGCATTTGTGAGGCACTGGGTTCAATCCTCAGCACCTCGTAAAAATAAATAAATAAAATAAAGATATTGTGTCCATCTACAACTAAAAAATTATTTTAAAAAAATTCCACAAACTGATAAGAAAATAGAGTGAGGAATGAATTATTGGTGACAGGAATATTATATGAGCGTTGCCAGTACTTGTCTTATGAAAAACAGACAATTGTTTTAAATTATTAAAATTCATTTTTAATACATATACCTTTTAAGTTAAAATACCATTATTAATATTGAATCTATACTTTAAACATGTGCTGTATGTTAAACAATGCATTCATTAACTCAATTAACACAGTAACATTCTGAAGAAATTTTTACTACTCCTATTTAAGAAAAAAAATGAAAAGGATATATAGTTAATAATTTGGTTTTTAAAATTTTATTCTAAGCTATGTCTGGCTACTTTCAAACTTGATGTTTTTCAAAAAAGGATAAACTGGCTAGATGTGGTGGTGCATGGTTGCAATCCTAGCATCTTGGGAGGCGGAGGCAGGAGGATGGCAAGTTCAAGGCCAATCTCAGTAATTTAGCAAGGCCCCAAACAACTTAGCAAGATCTGTCTCAAGATAAAAAATTAAAAGGACTGTGTATGTGGCTCATCACTCCTGGGCTCATTCCCCAGTATCTAAACAACCAACCAACCAAAAAACAAAAGAATAAATGGTTATTAAGCCAATTTTACTTAGTTTATTCTTTTTTGAAAATATGTTAGATTCCCTTCATCATATTTTCTTAGATCCTATGGTAGTTCAAATATGCAAAATGATGACAGTCATCATTCAGATTCACATTCAACTTTATTGCTGACTTTCCGTTCTCACTGCATATGTTTCAGGCGTTTTCATTCTGGGAATGACATTATTTGTAGAGGAAAGAATTACTAACAACTGCAAAGCTATTGAGTATTTCTCATGTGTCCCTCTGGTCTCATTCCTATTTAGATGTGTGTAGGGACTATAGAATCAGAGCTATCTCTACCCCCATTATTTCAGGTACATGTGGGAAAATAATGGGCTTTGTGCATGTGAATCCCACATGCAATTTTGAAAAATTACTCCCTTGTTCATATTTCTGCAAGACTAAAATGAGATGCCCAAGGTACATGTTCACAGTGTTTAACATCTGGTCAGTTTCTTGTGCTGCCTCTTTTTTCAATAAAATACTTGGAATCTTTCCAATTGCACTCACATTAATTCCCAGGATCCTTGTAAAAGTTTACTTATAAGTGTAGGATTGAAAGATTAAAATGAAATGCAGTATGTAAGCAAAACATTATTACAGTGGTGGCTGGTGGCAAGCATTTGTGGCAACTTAAACTAGTCTGCTGTTCTAATGACAGTGTAGCCATTTATTTAATTTCCCTTTTCCTGTGAGGAAATAAACTCCAACCCACTTATTGATGCTTATGCCATGTTAGTCCTTATGTTAGGCAATGGAAGAAAAGATGAATAAGAAGTGATCCTTGCCCTTGAGGAACTCATAAAAGGAGACAGCCACTGTGGAAGCTTTTACAAGGATAACTATGATCAGAGCTATAACAGAGGTATAAAAATACTTCTATGAATACCTAAAGAAGCAAGACATGAAGAGATGTAATGAGTTAGGTTTTGAAGCCTGAGTAGTATTTTTATATAATACAGAAAATGAGCACTCATGAGCAAGGGAACAACAAATACAAATGAAATTATATTAGGCAAAAATGTTAAGGGGAAAAAATGTGTGGGAACAGGAGCATGGACCAATCCAAGGGACAAGGAGAACTTGCAGGGATGAAGTAGAGATTAATAAATAGGTTTGTAGTGGTTCAGTAGTGGGGGATTAAGCACCTTACTAGTGAATGTGAACTCTTTTATGATATTAATTTTTTTTATTTGTTCAAATACACCTAACAGTTAAAATAATTGAATTATAATCCCAGTTCTAATATATGCATACATACTGATACACTACAGTGAGCCATCATTATTCATAGATTGGTTCCAGGATCCCTGTGTATGCCAAAACATGTGGATAATCAAGTCCTTTGTTTATAATGATACAGTGTTTAAATTGTCTTATTAAATATGTAGAGAAATAGACTGTGAACTGAAGAAGAAATAAACCATTTGAAAGCTATTAATCTGTCAAAATATTTTTCTTAAAATTATTGAGAAACTATAATTAATAGACTTCATTGTTATAACTTTTCTGAATCATTGTAGAATGATCTATAATACATCAATTCAAAAGACTAGTAAAAGTTCATTTCTATATGTTTGTTTTAAGTGCTGATATGCCTGAAGAAATAATTTAGAGATATATGGAGCTGTATTAAAGAAAGCATGTCATGGAATACATTTTTGATTACAAAATACTAGTTGTATAAGTTGTGCAAATTGTTTTTGCTGACAATTACCAAATTGATGCTTGAAATACTATTGCTGAAAATAATATTAATTAGAAAAGCTACATTATTATATTTTAAGACTTTATTTGAAAACCATTGCAGCTATTTGCTTAGAATATACTACTATTTAAGTTTTTAATGTATAGAGATAAGTTATATAAGCAGCATATTTATATTGTTTTGATAAAATGAAAAATAAATCACATGGTGGTAAGAATATTTCAAATATCCATTTTTAGAATGTTTTTTCAATAACATAAGTTTCCTTTAAAAGGACTTTATAATTTACTCATTAAAATGTTAACAAGTCACTATTTGGAAATTCAGATGGGTATAAGGTTCTCATAGGAAAGAATTATCAGTTTTGATATTTTGATGTTTTAAATTTGTGCTTCAATATCATTATTATCTATGATCTGTGGCCTATTTCCATTAATATCTTTATGTCCTTTGTCTACTTTGTGACATGTTAATTCTTATTAGATAAAATAATCTTAAAGTACAGTCAACAGAACATAAGTAAACACAATGGGTAGCATGTGATGACTGAGAATAAAGTTTACAGAACACCCACTTTTCCCTTAGGTTATCTTGACATTCACAAACAGAAGGAAGTTATTTGTATGTCATCGTAGACTATTACCAATGAATGGATTAAATAAAAGCAATGCTTTTTTTGTTTTCCTTAAATAAGATTTCTGGATAATATTCTAATATTTTGTTATAGACTACCTTTGTGCTGTATGAGCAAGTGCCATTTGATCCACAAAGCTCCAGATACCACAATTGAAAATGATTCATAAAGTAAGATCAAAAATATGTACACTGCAAGATTTACTAAAGCATTGGCATTGTCACTTTCTGAAGAAGCTGCCACTGTTTTGTCAGAAGAAAAAGGACAACTTGTTAATACCTATCTAAATCGTGAGTCCAGAGTTTCTTGCATCCATTATTAAGTGGGCCTAGTCTCTCTTGGATAAATTGGAAAATAATGGGTTATAGGAGAAAGAAAAAAGTACCTTAAGCCAGGGATCATTGATTGTCTAGCCGTCAGCAAAAGAGTTAATACAATGAAAGTAGGAGGAAGCACATTCTGTGAAGCTTGGTAACAATAACCATCAGTAATACTACAGAAAAGGAGTTTAGTACCATGAATGCCAGGACTCAATCATATTTTTAGATATATGTTTTTCAAAGAAAGGCAAAGTACCCTGTGTTTGAGTGTGAATCAAAAAGTTAAAATTCTAACTAATTGTTGCAGGCCCAAATGGAAATAGCATAATTCATAAACATGTCTTTGTGAAGTAAGGGGTCAATTATAGGTGTCATTTGGCCAGGTAATCCAGAAATATTTGGAGTCTTCCAGTGGATTATGAAACAAACAAGAAGAATATTTCTCTGTCCTTCAGGTGATTATTGTTTAATGGGTCTAAAAACTTGCGCACATTGTTACAAATATTGAATGTCTCACCTCTAACTGGTGGGAAAGTGATTTCAGATAAATCTTGAAAAATGAAGTGGTGTGGATCTTAAAAAAAAAAAAAACTTACACAGTAGACATGGAGGTGGGGAAGTATTATGAATATGCAGGAGAGGAGGGATAATTAAAGATGCTTGTTTCACCCATTTAAAAACATAGTGTGTTTAGAAAATGGTGAAATATGTTGTGTGGTTGAAATGTAAGCATGTTTTTATAAATAAGTATGAAAAGATGCTACTAAAAATATGGTTTTGTAGGCTAGACTATGGATACCCTTGTATATTCAACTGACACTTAATTATCCTACCTTATTCTATAGCCTTCTTCTAGGAAAAGACCCTGACTTATAACAGGTGATATATGTAATGTTCAACAATACTGCCAGGTGTGGAGGCAATGCCTATAATCCCAGTCTTTCATGAGGCTGAGGCAGGAGGATTGCAAGTTCCAGGTCAGCCTCAGCAATTTAGGAAGGCCCTAAGCAACTCAGGAGACTTTGACTCTAAATAAAAAAAATAAAAAGGACTGGGGATGTGGCTCAGTTGTTAAGTATCCCTGGGTTCAATCCCGGGGAGGGGGGGACAAAACCAAACAAACAAACAAACAAAAATAGTGTTCATCAAATGGAAGGTACTGCCTTTAATTAGTATAATGATTTTGATTAACATTCTACTCAGTCATTGAATTGGATTCTATTTTATCTAGTCATGACTATTAGATAAATGGTCTATGAGAATATATAGATTTTGAAACAGAGCAAAAATTCAGTTATATTGGCTTCTTCAAGCATCACTCCTAGTCTTCTGCCTCTAGGACTTTCTAGGACATTGTATAGCAGCATATTATTGATTATCATCTGTCATTAACAACAGACATCAAAATCAGACAGATGTATTAACATTTTTTCCTTTTACTTACTACCAGCATCAAAGAACTTATTTTCTTATACAATTAATCATAATACTGATATTATACTATAGTCTGCTTGGTTACTTCTTCTGTGATTGAAAAGTGATTTTATGAACTAACACACTATTCTACCTTTCTCAGCAGGCCAACTTTGTATAATAGTTACTTGTCACACTCAGCACCTATTATATTTTGTTATAACTATTAAAGAGTTTTCCCTTATATGAAGCCTGGTCATCTTTTCAAGGGTGAGTTAAAGGTAAATCCACTCAAAATGAACCAGGCCTCTGGCCATAAATGATTAGATCAAGTATAAGTAGCTAGCTAAATATATTCTTGTGAATTTGAAATATAGTGTAAAATTTAGTTTCTCTTGAGGAAGATGAAAAAATCACCTGATTACTTGTGAGTAGCTTATCACCATATTTTATGTCCAGTGTCTTTACTGTTTCAAAACAGAAATAACCTGCTTGCCACTAGAGTTTATATAACACACACACACACACACACACACACACACACACACACTCACACTCATTATACAAAGACTAGAAAGGCAATTTGGAAAATCTAGAGGGCATTTCAATTTGTTTCCAGTCCTTGAAACTTAACTGTATTCAAGAACCTTGAGATCCACAATTCATTCCATAGCTTCATATTTAATATCCCTATTTAGCTCAAATTAATGCAAAAAGCTTCTGTTATTTACTACATAAATACTTGATAGTATAGATTTGTTTATATTTCTTATCAGGGACCTTAATTAAATGCCTACTTTTTCAATTTTATTTTTAACTGATCCATAATGGCATAGAATTACACATATTAATAGGGCAAACATATAATGTTTGGTGTGATACATGTATACATTTGGTAATATTTAAGTCAGGTTAAAAATATCTATCTCTTCAAACATTTATCACTTATTTCGAGTGAAAATGTTCAAAGTCCCTTCTTCTATTGTTTTGGAATATATACTGCATTACTACTATACATATTCACCCTACTGTGCCATAACACATGAGAACTTCTTGCTACCAACTCTAATTTAACAATCATTATAATCTCTACTTTTTATACAGTCTTGTAATCTACCTGCAGGATATCACTTAAACTAACACTAGTAACCATTTATAGAAGTAATATTTTTAGTATAGTGATCATGTTTCCCTGAATTACAAATATTATGTGTTTAATATATATCAAAGTCAAATATTATGGTTGAACATTCATAGGATATATTTTTAAACTAACCATGAAGTGAAATAATCCAGACTCATAAAGTCAAGGGTTGAATGTTTTTTGTCATATGTATATTCTAGACAGAAGAAAAAGGAAAAAAATAATTTCATGAAAATATAAAGATCAATAGAGTAGAGGAAGGGGATCCACAGGGAAGAGAGGGGTGCATGGGGAAATATTGGGGGAATTATGCTTGTACATATATATAAAATTATAATGTACTAATTGAAATAATACTAAAAAACAACAATAGTAGTATACATGAGATCAGTAGAGTAAAACAAGTGGATAGGTGAAGGAGCAGGGGAGAGGAAGGGGTAGTACTGCGGAATGAGATTGATCATGTTATGTGGACTTAAAAATGTGGCACAACAAATCTTACTATTATGTATAATTATAATACAATAATAAAATAACTAAAATATAATAAACTTTTTAGCCATGAGCACTTGAAATCTAATTTTTACACATTTCAATTAGTGAACTACTTTCCTCGACTGACATGGATAGTGTTGATTGTTTTACCAGGAATTCTAGTAAGAATATCCACATTTCTGAGACTCCATGTTCTGAATGCATTTTCTTTGCTTTCAATTCCAATTATAATGGCATTATAGCAAGGCTAAAAAATAGTGCCATCCATGATTTCTTTGCTTACATAAATTATTAAGAAAGGTACCGGCAATATTTTATCTGAATACTTGGTTACATAACAGAAACACTTGGACTAAACTACAATGTTGAGCAAAGTTCACTCCCTCAACACCATTTCTCCTCCACATTCTTATACATAGAGTTAAAATAATGAAAAAGGAAAATAAAAACAATACTTTAAAGTACAGATTAAATGTCAAACTATGTATTCACTATGAATATTTGAAAAGAAACAGATTATATTTCATAGATACATTGTCTGAGACATATCAGATTGCTATTGTAGATCACACTTGATTTTTCTGGCTTTTGATCTTTACCATCTACCAGATGGACTCTAACAATTTTGTATCCTACTGTGTAGACTTCGATTGCCCACAGATCTATAAAATTGCAGTGTTATTAGGTAGCAAGCAAAACTATTTTCTTGTGATGACTAACAGAGGAAAGGTTAAAAAAACAACCTTTAGCTATGGCCTCTGCTGAAATGAATGGATTTTATTTTGTACATATACAGGGAGACCCTTTATCAACTTTGATGAATTTGGATGGAGGATCACAAGCCTCCATCCTTTGTGGTTACCAATTTCCAACTGTATTATGGAACAAATTGCCCCCATAATATTTATCTCAACTTAGGTTCTCAAAGTAAAGTTTATTTTAATAAAATATTAAAGCTATCTATTTATTTTACAGGAGTACTGGGGATTGAACCCAGAGGTACTTTACCACTGAGACACATCCCCAGCCTTTTTTTTTTTTAATTTGAGACAGAACCTTGCTAAGAATTGGTGAGGCTCATCTGAAAAAAACTAAGGATTGATACATAAGTATTTGTGTTTTATTTCCTTGAGTAGTTGACATTTAAATAGAGATGAAGGGGAAGAGTAGGGGGAAAGGGTATGCCAGAGTAAATAAGTATTATATAAGGATGTGTATTATTAGGAATTAAAGAAGATGATGACAAAGCAAAGAAAGTCATGAAAAGGAAGGTGGTATGAAGGACATTCTAGATGGAAATGTGTGAGTGAAACCAGGGAATCTGAATATCATAGTGTATATTGCACAAGAGAAAGTAAGTTGATCTAGTTTGTGCTTAAGGTATAAGAGGAATCAGGGCTGGTATAAAGAAGTTACCCATTAGTACATGAGGATGAATTAGAAGGAATACTAATTACATATGATGTGTCTAAAACACTGCATGTGAGGCCCAAAGTCACAGACATTTTTGTGTGTACACAGACACACACATACACACAGTAGCTTATGGATGTTCCTGGAATATTATTGTAGACAATACAAACTGCCCCCATTGCAGTTTTTCATTCAGACAAGTTCCTAGGGACATGAATCATTCTAGGGAGTCAGTCTCCCGTTTTAGCATGTAAAACAACAGTTGTGTTCCCAAAATGCAGCAACATTTCAAACAAATGTCTTTTAATTATATGGAAGAGGGGGCCTCGATTTGAATCTCCCTAGGATTCAAATATGCTTAGGCACATCTGGAGGACAGGTGAGGCAAGCCCACAGGGTCTATATGTAGGATAGACAGAATCACTTTTTGGAAAAAAAAAAGTTTGTTTTGAATGAGGAGGATGTCAAATATACATGGTTTTAGTACCTTTTTCTTTAGTCATCC